GGAAGCTGGCCACTTGCAGCAGCACAGGGTCTTTACTGCAACCAGCGCAGTGTTGAAAGCTGCCCCCTTGCAGCAACACAGGCTCGTTAGACCCTGGCCAAAAAAAACAGAAGCAAAGGCAAAAGCAGAACGCCATAAAACAGAAGCACAAGTAGAAGCAAAAAGCAAAAGCAGAAGCAAAAAGCAACTGCAGAAGGAAAAGCAAAAAAACAAAGCAACCGCAAAAGGAAAAGCAAAAAGCAGAAGCAAAAGCAAATGCAAAAAGCAAAAAGCAGAAGCAAAAGCAGAAGCAAAAAGCAAAAGCAGAAGCAAAAGCAAATGCAAAAGCAGATGCAGAAGCAAAAGCAAAAAGCAAAAAGCAACAGCAAAGGGCAAGAGCAAAAGCAGAAGCAGAAGCAAAAAGCAAAAGCAAACAAAGCCAAATGCAAAAGTAGTAGGGGAAAAAATATGAAAAAAAATACCAGAAAAAAATTGAAAAAAAATCCCAGAAAAATAGGGGTTCCATTTCTATGCATTTCTGCTAATGTATGCAAATGGGGGAACAGGTGTTGAAAAAACACGTTCAAACGGGAGGGGTTGAACATGGAGAAAGAGGATGTATCAAAACATGTTTGGTTCGTGTTCCCTCGGCGTTCCAGAAGCACATTTTTCGGGATATGTATGAACAGCACGGGGGGAACAAGACCTGAATGTATGCACGAAAATACGCACTCATCTATTATTCGCAATCTACATGTTTGGTGCATTTGCAAATTGTATGAAGCCATGGGGTCGAACAATTCTTTGAAAATCATAATGAGCATCAAATTGTATGATCATTATGTATGAAAAAGCAAAAGGCGGGAAACCGCCCTGAGGAAGCCTACTTTTTCAGGGAAATGTATGAAAGGGGTCCAAGTAAAAAAACATATCAATCACTTCCCCGAGAATAACATCTGGAGACGGAGAAATGTATCTTGAGAGGGGGGGCACACTCTTGAAAATACATTTATTATCATTTATTTTGCCCCGTGATCCTTTGACCCGCTCCCTTTCTACGAGGATCTTCTGCGTCATCATGGCTGGGGAACAAGGCTTTGATGCCTAGGCCATCTGCGAAGAAGGTCGTCGCCCTCCCTTGAACAAGCTAGATGAATGCATGTTCTGTGGGAACAGAAGTTGTATCTTCGGGTCTGTCCCTTGCCCTGACAGTCTGACTGCCGCAGTTCGCAGCTTTCGCATCGGTCATAAACTCAGTCAACGCAGTCTGACTGCCGCCCTTTCGGCCCCGACCTAACCGACCGTTGGATCCACAAGTTGGTCCCAATCCTCGGGTCTACTCCTCCGAGCCGGTCCCAACCTAGGCCAGGTCAGCTGGTGACGTTTTCATGGCACCGACCCGTTTGGTCTTTGCAAAGTTTAATCCTCCAAGAGATTCCGAGAGGTCGATGTTCCATGATGATTTCACAGAGTGTATGCCGCAGTGTATGCCTTTACTATCATTTCCAGGTTTTCTACCCCTTGGATCCCCTTGGCGCTGCCCAAGATGCCGCGCCAAACTTCTGGTTCTTTGACATCCCAAAGGAGGACTACCGCCTCTGCTGCAGCGATCTGGTCTACCGCTTCTGGAGCATCTGCAGGGACCAGTTGGTACCTCAGAAGCGCGCCACGTTGCTTCCGGTGATGCCCCACGCGTTGCTTCGGCATGCGCCCAGCCGTTCGTCTTCCGATCAGGTGGACCGGAACCGGACGCGGCTGACACGTCGCATGACCGGACGCGCCGTGACCCGCAGCGTTTCGGAACGATGTCCGCGAACGCGATCAAGGACTCGGACGATCTCATCACATCAGGTGGAAGACGGTCCCGAACTTTGGAAGCCGGAATCCGTTACACAGGAGGTTTTTCCACTTCCATGTGATGTGTTCTTTTTGTTGGAGGCTTTTTCCACATCGGGCTACAACCCGGCCCAGTGGAGCGAACCAACCCTGGCTTGGTTGGAGGCTTCTGCCACCTCCGAGGTGAGAAGAGTCAACTGGGACCAGGGTGAATAGATCTGCCTACCAGAGTCGACTGGGCTCATTGCATTGGATCGCCAGTCACTAAAGCTTCGGTGCATATGGACTCCTGGTGCAGCCAGGGCTGTCGAGGTCAGGCGTTTCCGCCTGGGTGGATCTTGCTGAGGCCAAAGGTGCTGCACTCGCGCGGTGTAGTACTTGTTCTTAATGACTCCCACACCTGACAGGCCTCGTGCGGCGAGGCAAATGAAACAGGCGAGCCGTGTGCAATCGTGTGCACATGTTGAAGGACCACCGGTCTCAAACTAATGTTCAAGAGTCAAGAGCCACAAGAAACTATGTCTTCTCCAAAAAGCGATCCTGTTGCCAAATGTTGTTACAACACTCTTGTTAATCTCTCTCTCTCTCTCTCTGCCTGCCTGCCCGCCCGCCCGCCCGCCCGCCGGCCTGCCTGCCTGCCTGCTTGCCTGCCTGCTTCTCTCTCTCTCTCTCTCTCCAGGCTTTGCCATGTTTTGCACCCCCCACCCCTCCGCGCCTTCCCTCGTCTCATCGCTCAAAGCCTCCAGCAGCCGCTGTCCGTGAGCCTTGTCGCCCAAAAGTAGCACAACTGGAAGCTCCGCCTCGCAGCGTCTCCAAACCGCGCGCTCGCGTTGCGCGACGCGCCCGTGCTGAAAGGAAGTGAAACATCGGTTTCTTCAGGGCTGAGAGAGATGCTGAAGGGTGAGCATGGTTAGGACGAGGCAAAAAGCATCACAACCTGGACGCCAAGGATACTGATTCACTAGTTAATCAGTCTGATTTGAATGAAGAACTTTGCTTCTTCTGCTGTTCGAGAAGATCTGGAAGTGATGCAAAATGATGTCAGGAGCTGCAACGGTGGATGATGATGGTTAGTGAAGGCCTTGTAGTTGTTCACTGACTGTTACAGGTAATAGGACAAACCCAAAAATAAGTGCCCGGAATTATACAGACTCCCACTGTCATATCATCATTACTGGACATCCGGGAGAAACTATATATAAGGAAGGAAGGTGCGCGACATTTCTTGAGAACTGACTTCCCCACCTGCCCATGCCCCTATAGCCCTTCACCACTACCCCTAGCCCCTGCGGCCTGCGAACCTGAAAAACCGGCATGTGTTTCTCTTGGGAATTCTGCTTGCGTGAGCCTTCTGCGTGACACATGTCTTCCACCTCCCAAGCGCCCTACCGAGCCGACGGCCTTCGCGTCGGCCATGATGTATTGGGGAGACCTGTGGCCTCTCTCACTGGAAGTCAGGTGGTGCACAGGAGGTGGATGTTTCTTTTTTTTTTGTTCTGTCCATGCTGTCACCATCACCCGGCACAACTGAAGACAGGACATGACAGGCCAACCAAACATGTTGTGAACATCTTACGTATGCGAAGGTGAAAAGGCAATCCCTTGGAAAATCGTCTGATGCTTTCCCCAGCCATTGTGGATATGTGCTGTCACTGTCCATGTCATAGCTGTGAGCAAAATCTGGACGAGATTTCCTTGCCGAAACCCAGAACTCAACCTTCAATCTCACCCACTCGCACACCGTTCATCACCGTGCATTGCCCAGGTCTTAATGGGACCGCATGTCTTTCGAAACCAACACTTTCTGCATGTATCGAATAGTCATACCATGTCATACCTACATTTACCCCATGTTTGACCCCAATGAAATTATTCCATAACCACATGACAACTTCCTTGACTGGAGAGGCTGTGCATGCAGGGCTTCAAGTCAAAGGCTTTGGTTCGACTTGACTAAGCGCTTACGCAGCGGCCGCATCCCTCAAAGAACCCAGCCAGCAGAACGAGTGGGTTCAAAATATGCGTCCTGCTGGGTAAGCAAACCCCAGATAACCCGACCCCTAAGGGAACATTTAAGACAGTCACCCATCCCACAAAATCCGCGCCGGAATTCACCCAGATTCAGCGCATGTTTCGCACCCGCTGCTGTGCCCCTGTTCTTTGGAGTTCCGACCATCTGGAGCCCGTGCTCCACCTCATTCGCCAGCTCCTCGATCCGCACTAAGCGGCGCCGGTCCAAGGCCATGGCGGATGGGCCGTTTGGCACAGTTCGACCTTGTGTGGAATTGAAAATCATGGCGTGCCACAGTTTTTGCAGGGCAACAGAATCAAACGGATAGCGGAAGGGTGTGTTTTCTCAATGTGCTTGTCGGTGTTTTCTTGGATGGGCACTGTTGTTAAGTGAGCGATAGCTAGTCTAACAGGGCAGAATTGATCTTTAAGGTTTGGCATTGCTCATGAAGTTGTCTCTTCTGGACCCATGATGCAAGCATCAATGGAGCATAGGCGCAACCTTCCTTCCTTCAACAAGGTTCACCTGGTTTTTGACTTGAAATTTGGAACCATCTATATACGGCGGTCAGTTTGAACAAGGGTTGCCCTGTCATGTGAATACAACTCTTTCAGGTAGGAGGTTGGTGTCCTCAACAATTCATTGTAAACACAAATGCTGCATGCACACAAAAAATGAAAAACGTTATGTTCCCAACTTGTCTGGGTTTGGATTCCCCCCAACATCTCCCATCAACGTAGAACATCGATTCCAAAATCCACCCACACGGTAGCGAATCCATTGATTTTTTCGCATCAAAAGATCGTCCATGTGGACTCCCCCATAGCTTCGGCCCAGTCCTGGCATGCACTCAAGGGCCACTTCCCTACTGAAACAAAAACATGTTCCAAACCATTCTTTTCAAGGAAACGCAGCCGGGACCAACACAAAAATAACCAAAATTAGACAAAATTAGCACTCCAAAGCATCCCGCTGGAACTGTTGCAGCAATGCTCGCTCCGAGTTGGCTTTGATCACCTCACATCCAAAGCCGCTCCGGCTTCGGGTCAGTAAATAGAGCCTATAACTCATGATGTGCTGCTTGATGGGCACGGGCTGAGTCAAGTCTAGTCAAGTCTGAAACAAAACCAACCGACTTGACGTCAGCGGCGCGTCGTCAATTGTTCGACCACGCGCTTCCTTTAACATGCCGGGCCTCTTTGTCGCCGTTCTATTTTTGACATGCGTTTCTGCTATCCGCAAGCCTGGGGCCAATTATGCAAGGGCAGTTGGTGTAGTGGTATCACACCCGCTCAGCATGCGGGAGGCCCCGGGTTCAATCTCCGGATTATCCATTCTTCTTTGTCATCGATCCTTGCTTCTGGTTGTTGGTTGCGCCTCCTTTAGTTTAATTAGTTTTGCTGTTGGAAGTTCTGGGCTGGATCTTGAAGAATAATCAAAAGTTATGACCTTGAGCCTAAGTCTTGAAGTGCAAGGAGCATGACCAAATGAGCACGAGGATGCCAGAAGTGAGTTGAGCGCCCTTCCAAAAAACAGCAGCTCCTAAAATGTCGACAATGTCTTTCTATCTTTTCCTGCACTTAAACTGGCAGACTCAGTTGTTATACCACCCAAACACCTCAGGGCTGCCTTAAGCCTAATGGTTCCCTGCTGGAGGCTGGAGCTCTAAGCACAAAAACTAGCACAAAAGGCATTCGGGCACGGGCACACCTCTGGTCAAGCTGAGGCTCTGCCTTGGCGCTGTACGCCACTCGGCGGCAGCGCAGCCGCTGAGTGCCATCTGGCGCAAGCTCCGCCAGGAACTCCAAGCCTCCTTCGCAAGTGGGACACTGCACCTAGCACCCACGTCACCATGGCCACATCAACAAGTATTCTGAACTGTCAGAAGCCTTGACAGGCTAACACATGAGGCAATAGAAAACACAATGTTGAAAAAGGACATCAGTCTTCCACTGGTCTGCGCACCATTCTTTGTCTGTGATCGCTTCCTCCTCTCAAAAGATTGAAGCGGGCTGTGAGACTGTCCTGCTTTGCAGGATTCGCAAGCTGTGAGACCGGTGCTGCCAGGCGCCTTGAAGAAAAGCATCTCAACCCCAAGAAGATTCAACGATGTTTCAAAGTCAAATTTGGTTGTTCAACATTGTGCAAATTTGGAAGTTCTATGCTTCACTCAGGCCTTAGGCCTTTCTCTCCGCCGCCAAACCCTTCCTCGTTCGCCAGTCTATGTGTGCAAAGGCCCAGCGCCCATGATCAGCTTGCACGGTCGAGGCACCTTCAAGAGTTCGTCGTAGATCACACGGCCATGGCCACGTACGCCAGAATTCGCCGTTGGCTGCATCTCTGCATCAACCTCCAGCAGCAAATCACCCGCCTTCACCTGCTTCTCGGGGTGCGATTGGTTCCAATCCGCCAACGCGCCCGTGGGATGGACCGCTGCGATGCGCAGCCCATTGTGCTCTTTGAAGGTGAAGGCTCCTAGCCGCCATTTTCCGCTCAAGACGACTTCAAACTCCTCTCCTAAAGTTCGCTTCGTGTCCATGGTGGAAGCAGCGGAGTCCCTCGCTGAGAGGAAGGGTGCGACCCAAATAGAGCGGCCTTCTGCGGCGGCTTGAGCGCTACGAGACGCGCTTGAGAGGTTAAGGCAGCGACGTCATCCGAAAGTTGCAAAAACACGAAAGCGAACGTCACATGTCAGCCTATATCTGTTTCCAAGGATGCCTGGTTTGAAACCCCGCTGGTCCACATGACGAGCCCAATGCACATGAAGAGATTCAAAGCAGGTGCATCGGCACCCCTTTTTCAACTTGACCAAGAGAAGGCACGAACCTTGGAGCAGTTCAGGGGGCCACCGTCCTGACCCGGGGTCGCCCACTGCCCGGGCAGTCCTTCATCTAACTCCTCCATGGTCTTTGCGGAGGGCGTGCCCACCGGGCGGAAGCGCAGTTCGCACCCCGAAGGCGTTGGCCTCTGCTCCATGGGCGTCTTCATGCCGAAGCGAAAGGAGCCATCAATGAAGGTTGAGGCCCACTGTTGCACGAAAAGAGCCTCAGTTCTCAAGAGTTGAGGCTAAAACAAGTGCGGCATGCGGCCCTCGGGGCCATGAAGCCAATTTAATTTCTTGTTACTTTTTGGACTTGTAAGTACCAGCTTTGTGAGCTGGTGTCTTTGGTGAGCTTGCATTCATCGGAACTTGAGGCCAAACGGGGATGAGTCGGCATGACGTGAAGCAGGAAGTTGAACCGAAACGGCGGGGGGTCCAGTGGATAATTCACGGGGTAGTGGATTCCATGCCCCAGCCAACCACTTGCTGAAACAAAAGTAACTCCAGCTATATAGCTGAAGCAAAAAGACGGATTGCTGAGTGACTCCTTTTCTTTTATTCACGTCAACTTTCGTGACAAAAGATGGATTCGTTCTGACCCTGAGAACAGACTTGCTCTCGGTTCACAGTCGGTCGGCCGACTGGAATCCCCCAAAAGCGAGGCTGTTAGCGGGCGCAAACTCAACTGTTCAAAGTATCTAGGTGCGTCGTATTTCTTGGATTCCAGCTTCGGGCACAGTCTTGCCCACGCAACACCCGGCCGCCTGCGTTCGCCCAGCTCGCCGCTCCCATCGCCTCTCGCCGAGGCTCGGCCTTCCTCGCATCCGGCACCTCTTTCCGCCACACCTCTGGGCCCACACAGGGCAACAGCACTTCTCCCCAGGCCATGCGGCGCCCCTGCCACCGGTCCAGGACCGTGAAATTCGCCTCGCGAGCGCGAGAGGTGGTGGGTGGTCAGTGGGGGAGAGACCCCAGGAGGTCAGTGGGTGAGTTGGCGGTGGGGGGCATCCACGCTTTTGGTCCAATGTTTTTTTGTTTTCCATTCCGCCACTTCGCCACTTCAAACATTGTTCAATCGGTCAGTTCCAACTGGTCCACCCTAAGAATCCTTGGGCTGTCTATGGCAGGGGTCCGGACCCTCAAAACAGGTTCCATTGGTGCGGGCCCGGATTCTTAGGGCATCAGCTGATGTTCTTTTTTGCAACTTGGGCATGGAGCCCTGCATGGCCTTCACTAGCCCAGGCATGGTGATTAAGCAGCATGATAAATCTAAGACTGCTCTTGAGGTCAGGCATGGTGAGGCACTGGGAAGATTACATCGATCTGGGGTTCAGGTACCAGTGGAACCCGTCCCACACTTCTGGAGTTTCTATCCCTCTTCGAAGGCCGACAGTAGTAGAGGCGAACTTGTGTCACATGATGTGTGTGTGTGTGTTTGTGGGCTGTTACTGTTGCTGCTGCTGCTGCTGGTGCTCCTGCTGTTGGTGTTGGTGTTGTTGTCTGTTGTCTGTTGGCTGTGGTCTGTCGTCTGTTAGTCAGTCAGTCAGTCAGTTAGTCAGTCAGTGAGTCAGTCAGTCAGTTAGTCAGTTAGTTGGTCAGTCAGTCAGTCAGTCAGTCAGTCAGTCAGTCAGTCAGTTAGTCAGTCAGTCAGTTAGTTAGTCAGTTAGTCAGGTTAGTCAGTCAGTTAGTTAGTCAGTCAGTCACTTAGTTAGTTAGTCAGTCAGTTAGTTAATAATATTTATTGATTTTCGGAGCCCACTGCGGCTTCCAAGGCGCATTCACTCCATACAACACTGCATTGAACATGGCAGCCGCCACCGTCTCCGGCGAGGTCTTGCCTGACTCCTGACACCGTCGAACTGCCGCCGGTATCGCAGAGCGAAGAGAACAAACTGGAGTGCAACGTCGGACATGACTGTATTGGGTAAATCCCACCGCCAGTAAGACAACCCCGGTGTTTGGGGGGTGCATTGACTTTAACATATTACAGTAATTAGTTGCTAGAATTTGGGTACTGTATATCTTGAGGAATATCCCATTACCTGTAACACGGGATGATGATGATGATGATGGTTCAGTTGCAAACCGACATCTCTAAACTAGTTCTTGTTTACCGACTGCTGCAGGGAATGGGACAAACCCTATTTATGGCCTTATAGACCCAAAGCATGAAGCCCATTATTGGTATCTTTGGGAATGGTGTTCAATCGAAAACGTTCATCTTTCAGGAAGAAACAGTTTCGTTCACTTGGACCGTGACCCCGCTGACCACAGCTTTAGATGAGTTATGCTGAGTTGGGCATATCCCATTACCAGGGCCCAGTGGATGATGCTGGTTAGGTTGCAAGACCAATTCCCCCAACATGGATGATCCTATTTGACTATATAATTGCACTTATTGGAACTAACATGGAAGTGGATGGCATGGCCCATGGCCGGAAGTGGAGTGGCGTCAAGCGATCCACCGACCCCCCCTCACCTCGTTGAGACTCACCTGCACCACACCGGGCCGGACGTCCTCCCGGGCGTCGCACGTCGGCACGTCGAGCGCTTTCCGAGCGCTTTTCACACGGCGCGGACGGTGTCCAAATTTGGTCTTGTTGAGAGATACGATGCTTCGAAGCTTCAGTTTGATGCTTAGTTCCATGTTTTGTCTATCCTTTGTGTAATCCTTTCGCGAGTACTGAGCCATACGGTTCTCAAGGATTCTCAAGGTATACCAAAACTCTCCCCGCGCCCAAAAATGGACTCTTTCCTCTCCACACCTGTCACAACACCAGTCACCAACCAAACAAACACCAGTCACCGTCCGACCGTCCGACCGACCGACGACCGACGACCTCACTCCTGGTCACCAGCTCGGACCACCAGGACGCTCAAGGGCTGACTGGGCGGCCGCTTCCGCGCGTAGACGGTGACCTCGTCCTGGCGCGGAGGGTCGAGGGCGTGAAACTGGTGGCGGGGGGGGGGCTGGGGAGCGTAGAACGTCGAATTTCACCGAATGGAGATCTCTTAGACAATTATGAAGATCAAGGTCTTATAATTCATCGGACCTGTGGGGAGGTTCTTTCGAAAATCAAGAGTCAATCTTAGATAAACTGGTTTAAAGATGTTTAAACAAAACACGGCCATCTAATTTTGCTGTGCGTCCAAACCCGAAGCCAAAAAACCCTTGGTAGGTTGACTCCCTGGCGTCGTCTGTTACTGTGAGCATTTTGCGGTGGTTTTGATGCATCCTGGCCTGGGGAGGTCTTAACATCAGAAATTTATACAAGCAAGAGCTCCAAGAACTCCAGCCTCCTACTTGCGCTGTGGGCGATAAAGACCGATGCAATGTCTTGTGTCTCCATGTGTCTCCCCTTGTGCCATGAGTCGGCTTAGCAAGTGACAGCGGAGTTCGTCGTCTTCGTCGTCGAGTCGGCCTGCTCAGCCCAGGTCCTCCAAACTTCCGTAGCTGCCACCTGGTGCAGGTCTGCTCGAGTGAAGTGGTGGACATGATCCGATTCCAAAGGTCATTCTACATCGCGGATTTCTACACCATTTCAGCACATGGAACGCCCCTGAATACCATGAGACGGAGGCATTTAGCAGCTCTGCTTGCTTATTCCCTGTGATTCCTGGAATGGACCTGCCAAAGAACCATCGTTTTACAAATTGCAAGGATTTTTGATTACAACATATATTTCAAGTCCATTCTTTGAATGATCGACCTTCTTGGGATTGACCAAACTGGCCAGTTGGTGCCTATTCTGGTCATGACGCACATGGATCACCGGCGAATCTGCGCACCGAAACGAGTCCGACCACCAAGGCACTCTTGAAGTCCACGCCGAAGAAGGAGCCCACATTGAAACCTGAGCATAGAGGCATATAGAGAACCCTGGTCGAGAATCCCTAGTTCTGATTGGCCGCGTGCAAAGGTGACCGAGTGAACAAAAAAACAAAACAATCTAGAGCTGGGCTGATAGCAAGCCCCTAATACAAAAACACGCTTAACTTATAAAAGCCGATTTACACGTTCGTTACAAGAGTTCTCATTACTAGTATCTACAGTAATTCTTGCTGCCCTTCCAAAGTTGAGTGAAACATAGTGACATAGTGAAACGTCGCTTTGACCTCGCAACAACGACACAAGCGTCGAGAAAAGGTTTCCGCGCAAAAGAAGGCCTTCCATTTTCATCGTCAAGGAAGTTGCTACAGTACAGTAGTTCTTTGGAACCCAAAGCTATCTGTCCATTGGGACAAGGACATGAAACGCAGTATCTTGGGGATATCTAGAGACAGGGCTAGACATACCACCCCCTAAACAACAGAAAACCAACAAAAACAATTACTCACTGCGTTTGTGTGGCCCTTTTTTCCAACTCACAATTCAAGTCAAGAAGCCACCACCACCTGCCTGAGCACCAATTTGGCTCAGGATCACGATGCGATTCAGGGCGCTTGGACAGCTGTCCTGACGTCCACATTGACAGTCCACATCCACCGGGAGATGGGCAAATGTGTTGCCACGCAGAAGCTACATGAATGAAGCTACTTGGACAAATGTCTGCCACGGCTTCTAGCTACTTGCTGTGGGTAGCATATGGTCTCATTGATTGGATTGAATCCTCACCCCATTGGACTCCGGAGTATGAGTAAAACGAGTGGACGCCCACAAACCCTGACCCAAAGACACGAACCCCTCAGCTGTCGCTGAAGAAAACGCATGAGGTTCGAAGCGGCACGTGTCCAGCAAGATCTTGAGACCATCTCTCATCGCTTTGACCTGCCAGTTGTCAATGTGGATCTTACAGTGGGGAAGCAAGTGGACCCAAATGGTTGTGTATCAACACCGGGCACACCCTGGTTAACCACCAAGAATGAACAGAATAGAGCCTAGCCTTCTGGGTTCAAGACCCTAGGGCTCACGCCTCACGGGGGCCGGGGCTCTTTTGCAGGTCTCGCGACCTGGGAGAGCGTCCAAAGAGCCTGCTTCTCCTGTAGGCACCTTCATCCTTGTTTCCTAGGTGTGGTGATTTTCCAAGCGCTTTTGCCATGGATTCCAGCTGCATTTTGGATCTTTTGGATGAACCCTGGCGCTCCCGCGCTCGCACGATCTTTTGTGGATTGGATGGCGGTCCCTCGCTGGACTGGGAGGATTGCAAAATCCTCTGTGGCACCTTCTGGAGCCGGGTGGATGATTGCTTTGAAGCATCTCTGTTCCCCTTTGTCAAGGGGCATGGTTTTCGTATGGATGGGCCTGCCCTTGATACCAAGGTGGTGATCCACGACTCAGCCAGGAGATCGCTTAGCATTGCTTCCGGAGAGTGCTGCATCTTTGCTGGACCACTTGCTCGCCTTGAGGACGGGACCTGGAAAGGGGAAAACTCGGTCACGATTCTCAGGAGGACCTCGGCCGTCGAACATGATGCCATTGAATGCCTGCATTTGTTCGCTGGGGCATTTTCAGGGTGGAGTCAAGCGACCTTCACTATTCCATGGATTCTGCCTCAGACTACGATTGGCACCCAGGTTTTCGTCGACCTCGACAGTGATGTGATTGCTGCTTTGTCCATGAAATTTGGAATCAAACCTGTTCAAGCGCCTTTGACTGCCACCCAGGCCTTCGAGATCACTCTAAACAGGGTCATCCAGGGGGACGTTGCTGATCCTACCATTCTGCATTGTGCTCAACCACTTTCCAATTTGGTTTTCTCAGCCTCCCCGCCATGTGTATCCTGGAGCAAAGGCGGTTTCGGCCGTGGACTCAACTGTCCAGATGGATGGGCATTCGTAGAAGCAATCAAGCAGTGTGCGATCGGCCAACCTGTCCTTGTGATGTTCGAATGTGTCGATGCCTTGGCACAGCACTCTCATTTCAAGATCATCACCTCGATGCTTCACGATTTAGGATATGTAGGAATTTGGGAGGATGTCGTTCATTATCATGCATTTGTCCACATGCACCGCTCCAGGTGGCTTGCTTGCTTCGTTCGACATGACTTTGTCCATCATGGTCCCAAACCGGTGCCGAGTCTCAAGTCTGTCTCGCCAGAATGATGGACTTCGGAATCTTTTCGATTTCAGCTCCCTCGATCGTTGTCGGATCAAATTGCCATCCCGTCTCAGGTCCAGTCTGCCTATGCACAGCACTCGTTTCTACCACCAGCCAAGAGAGCCAAATTTGACCCTGCCGCTCCAGCTGAGGTCATCCTACGTGCAAGATTCCTGCAGCCTCATGAGCCGGTGCCTACGGTGTGCGCTGCCTATGGGTTCCAACATCTTCTTCCTCGACACCTCCTCGAGCAGAAAGGCATCTTCGCCACGCTCAAAGATGGTGATGCAGGACCTGAATTCCTTGATCCGGCACTTCTTGCTGCGATGCTCGGCCTCTTCGAACCAACAGTATTGTCGAATCAGCTGCAACTCCTCTATCGCCAGATTGGGAATTCTATTGCGACACCCCATGCTCTTCTGGCGCTACTCGCTGGACTTGACTACCTCTTTCAATGGGGTCTGGATGTCAATGGAGCAATCAACAAGATCTGGCAAAGGCGAATTGTTGGACAGAAGGCGATCATCATTGAACAACGAGACTTCTACATCCTTGCTGGCCTCGATTCTATCATTGAGCAAATCACTGTCCGCAGTGACCTTGTGGCCAATGACTCACATGTCACATTACACTGCCGGCATGTCAATGGCAGGATCGCCTATCTCATTGTCAAGCTGGCATGGACTGTCTCTGACCTCCTCAAGTGCTTTACTTGGAAGTTTGACATCTCAGCCCATGTCTACATTGCAGCCACAGGAGAAAGGCTCGTTCCATCCCAGACTGTTGGTCAGATCTTCGAGCAATACCATGAATGGACCCTCTTTGTCCGTACTTTTCCGATTGCCAGCTTGTCAATCTGCAAGGACTATGTCACCTGTGTGCCGACTCAAGATTGGCATGGGCCTCAACCTCTTTGTGACGCCATTCATGACCAGCCTTCTGATCCTTTCCGTCTCAAGCTCGTTGGAGATGATGACCTCTTCGCCGATACTCAGTTTCAGTTTGCCCTCTCCCTCCTTGAGAGCAACTGTATTGAAGTCTCTTCTTTGAGTGCAACCACCTTCACGGTCACTTTTGGAACTACCCCGTGTACTCTCACCTTCAACGGCTTTGGTGACTCAGAAGCTCGACTACGCTGCATTCGTGAGTTATGGGATCATCTTGATCAGGACACTCAGCATTTCGCTTTCAAGATTTGCGACCATGGTGATTTGTTTCGACTTCCACCACATGGGGTCGTCTTTCCCAAATTCACGGAAGACAGATTGGTGCTGCTTCAGTTTGGGCCTCAGGATACCACGTGCGGCTTCTTCATTCCAACAAGGCTTGAATGTCCTCTCTTCGAGATTGGCCCCTACCGTTATGGGCTTATGTCCAAGAATGGAAGTGATCCTGGTCCACCACCCTTCCACTTCGACCACGGTGACTTCTTACACCTTACTTTGCAGAATGACATTCACTGTGGAGGACATCATGGAACTCGGTCCACTACTATCCCGGCTGGGGCAAATCTTCTGCAAAGAGCCGAATTTGCCAGCAACACTGGTGGCTGGCTCGCATCTGATGAGATGGCTTTCTTCCTGCGGCAACTGACATGGCTTGCACCTGAGTTTGCCATTTTCCATCCTGCCGTTCGTTGGAATCTGGAGACGGCCAACCTTGATGCGAATGACTATCAGGAGATTCTCATTGCCAATAACAGGCTCAACATCCTTCCGATCCTCTCTGGTTCGCACTGGCTAGCCTTTGAGATCCAGCGAGAAGGGGCCAACACCCATGTCACCTTCGTTGGTCTCCCAGGGCCTCTGCTCAGAAGTGGATTGCAAGTTGTGGCTGAACTCCTCGACATCACGCCCGAGAGGATCCAATACAGTCATGTCCCACTTGATGATGTCAACCATTTCTGTGGGTGGGCTCTACTACATCGGTGGGCCACGGCTGCAGGGATGCTGGACCACATGCCGCTCAATGGTGACCTGTATGCCACTACCTCCATCGCTGCACGTGCTATCATTGACGATGTTATCGAAGACTCTATTGAGGACTGGAACCAGAATGGCATCCCGTATGGGCTTTGGTTCTTTGCAGCCACTCTGCGTCGTGCTTTCTTCAGCTTCCTGGCTACCACTACTTTGAGGGGCAATGCTGTGTTGCAGGAGGCTATCACTGTTGTCTTTGATGATCTTGCTGCCGGTCCTCAGCCTGAGGAGACACCAGCTATCCACATCGATAGCCCAGATAGCCACATGCACCATCGCATTCAGCACTTCAACTCGTACCCGGGCTGGCTTGGATCAGATGAGCTGGATTTTGTCCTTCAAGCGATTCGTTTTCTGCGACCTCAATTCTGCTTCATGCCGCCGGCAAGATGGGACGCAGCCTCTGGAAACCTCTTCTACTTCGATGACCAACGACGAGATTTCAGAGCTTATCAGCATGTCACGTGGTTCATTCTCATTGAGCAGTGCTGGACTCAGATCGATGCACATGCTACCACTGCGACTATGACTCTGTTCATGAGTTTGCCGGATGCACTTGCTCACCATGCTGGCCCTCTTGCCACCTTTATCATGTCGCAAATTGACGAAGCTCAGCTTACTTGCCAAGTACATATTGTGCGCTGCAACCCCGAGCCGAACATGTGTGGATGGGTTCTCCTCCACTCCTTGTGTGAGCGCCTCCGTATCGCAGTACCACCACTTGCAAATGAGGTGCAGCAAACCATCAACCTGTCACGATTTCGGGTGCAGATTCGAAGCACTATTGAACGGGCTCGCTTGGTTTGGAATTTGTCCTCTTCGTTTCCTCGGATCACCAACTTTGCCAGTCTTGTGCGCACCAACTTCTTCCACTACCTCCTTGCCAACAGAGGAGCTCTCCAATATGCTGCAGGAGGTGGAACTGAAAAGACTACGCCCACTGGCAATGCTGCTGCAGGGTCTGAGAAAATTGATCAGCTTCAAATCAATGACCCATGGGCCTCCAAGTCTGCCAAGCCCAAAAACCCTCGGAAGCTTTTTCAGACACGATGGGAAGACCTCACCATCCCTGCGGATCACCCGCTACTTGATGAGAAGGGAATCCCTGTACCACAGGTTCATCGGCTACAGGCCAGTGCCAAGAAAGCGGGAGCAGTTTTGGCTACGAAGTCAGCCATCCAGGAACTCTCGAGAATCACTCCGTGTGCGACGATGTTGGTCATCCTTCCTGGCAATGACAAGAACCAATACAGTGAGCTCGGACTCAAAGTCATTGGCCCCTACGAACTCGTCCTCGAAGATGCCCAAGCTAAAACGGCCTACAAGAGGCTGGTCATTCTCTGGCAGCTGCATGGTGCTGTTACCTACAAGCTTCCTGACCCCAAGGTCCAACTCACAGCCGCTGAAGTTGCAGAACTTGTCATGGATGCCGACTCCAGGCTTATCGGCCCTCAGCTCACTGAACAAGCTCAACAGCAGCAGATCCTCTTCCTCAAGCACCACTTTGCACAAATCCACCCGGATTGCTGCGACAAAGCCAACATGTATGCTTTTCGCATTGGCAGACATCCCTCAGCCGGCAAAGAGGACAAGAACTTCCAATGCATCATCAAGCTTCCGGTTGCCTCTCGTCCCAATGTCCTCAGATCCAGCGGATCGGCCAACTTTCTCTTTCGAGACTACCTGACCACAGCTGATGATTTTGATGACATCACGGTATTGCCCAGGTTCTGGGATCCGAAGCCAACTTCT